TAGCCAAGTATGTGAAGTCCTTTGTGCGGAAAGATCCTTCGTTGAAAGTGGAATTCATACAGGAACTGATCTCGAAGCAATTTCATTTTGATGTCTCGTATCGAAGAGCGTGGTATGCCAAGGAGAAAGCTATAGCTAAGATATTTGGGGATTGGGAGAGTTCATACGGCAGACTTCCGCACTTCATGCAAGCACTCCTACGGTCAAACCCAGGAACATGTGTCGTATGGAAACACAAAGCTTTAGTTGACGGTGTATACTACAGCAACATGGAAGTGTTTGAACGAGTGTTTTGGGCCTTCGGTCCTTATATCGATGGCTTTAAACATTGTATGCCTGTTATCTGTATCGATGGGACGCACTTGTACGGGAAGTATAAAGGAACATTGTTGGTTGCTACGAGTGTTGATGCAAGCTTCCAAGTATTTCCTATTGCATTTGCGATGAAGGGGAAAACACTTCCAACTGGTCTTGGTTCCTAGGGTGTATTCGAGATCGTGTCATGCAACGGGATGGCCTCTGTGTTATTTCTGATTGGCATCCTGGTATCATTGCAGCAATGAATGATCCTAATGTTGGATTCACCTAGCTCTGAGCCTATCACAGGTTTTGTGTCCGACACATAGCTTCTAACTTGAAGACTCACGTGCAAAGTAACGACATGAGAGACATGTTCAAGGCCGCTGCGTACCAAAGGCAAGAAAGAAAACTTCAAGCTGATCTGTGTTTCATTGGTGAGGCATGTACCAAGGCCATCAAGTACATTGCTCAAGTCTCGTTCCCTATGTGGTCTCTGTTTCAAGACAATGATCGCAGGTATGGTATATGTACTACTAACTTCTCGGAGACATTCAATAATGTGCTGAAGGGAGCTCGGTTTCTACCGATTATGTCCCTTGTCAAGTTAACCTTCCACAGAGTTAACAAGTATTTCACTTTGAGAAGGGAGTCTTCCGAGGCTAGGTCTGATCAGGGACTTCCATAACCCCCAAAGGTCACTGCCATCCTGGAGAAGAACGCCGCTAAAGTCAGATATCATAGACTGGATGCCTATAATCGCCGATTGCATATTTACCAAGTGACAACAGAGAGGGGAGAGAGAGTTGGTAGTAAAGGAGGCCACAAGCATACGGTGAACTGGCAGTTGAGAACGTGTACGTGCAACAAACCAAAGATATTCCACCTCCCATGTTCTCATGTGCTAGCAGTCTGTGCTACATACTCACTATCCGAGCGGCCGTGGGTGGACCCTCTGTTGCAGTTGGCCGCCTACATGAACACCTATGCACCACAGTTCTGGCCTATCCCCTACGAGACAACCTGGGCACAGTGAGCACAGTACGTAGGCCCTAAACTCATTCCAGACGGCACAATGATATGTGGAAAAGGTCGTCCAAGGTCGAAGCGCATACGCAACGAGATGGATGATAGCAACCGACCCCCAACCAAATGCATCCGTTGTCATCAACAAGGTCACAACCAGACTACTTGTCCATCTAGACCAACATAGGACCTAAGTGTATATGTGTTATTTGATATAGTAGTATGTAGTGGTGTTATTTTGATTAAACAGTTATAATTTTCTACATTATATGTTATTGTGTTCATTTGGATGATTTTTATTTTCTACAGTGGATGTTCGAAATTTTCTGTTTATGCCTTTCAATCGAAATTGCTATTCCATTTATTGTGTTGGTGTTTGGTGTGTAACGTTTTCAATGAACATATATCATGGACGTACAGGATAGGACACCCGGACCTGTTGACCCTTCTGTCCTGACACTACAGGACACCCATCGGAGTGGCGACATATGGAACCAGACGGTAATATGTCATCAGTTACTTTTTTGGATTCTTTTATGTACTATCTTTTGTTACTTAAAAATGACACTTGGATTTTTTCAGGGTGACATAGCAAAGCCACTACAGTGCAGGCACTACAGGACCGCCTGGGTTGTCGATGATCGCTGCCTTGAGTACGTGACGTACGCTGGCTTTGGCGGTGTACATCGCTTGGGATTCAGGGAGATTGACCGACAGCTTGTCACAGCGCTAGTGAGAGATGGAGGTAGGAGACACACTCCTTCCATCTACCGGTTAGGGAGGCGACTGTGACATTGCGGGACGTGGTGGTACTGACGCGCCTTCCAGTACATGGGACTGCGGTGACGGGACCTGCGATAGTCGATCCCGTTGGTTTGATTGTGCGGGTTCTCAGGGTGCACCCGGGTCCCAACGATGTTAGGGGCTCCAGCTTGAGGGTTGTTTGGTTACGAGATACTTTCCAGGCCTTTTGCCTGCGGACGATAATGACGTCACAGTACAGAGACACGCTCGAGCGAACTTGTTCTTCCTCATATCCGGCGTGTTGTTCGGGAACAAGAGCGGAAGCCACTTGCAGCTTATTTACCTACAGCTATTAGACCACGACTGGGAAAATATCCGTGGATACAGATGAGGTAGTGCCTCTTTGGCGGTGTTGTATCGCCAACTTTGCAGAGCCTCACGGAGTGGTGCGCTCGAGATTGGTGGACCTCTATTTGTGCTTCAGGTAAACAACGTATATTATGACAAGCGAATTATGCAATGACTAATGTCGTATTTAACATAGTTTTGTGTTTTGCTATTGAAGCTATAGGCTTGGGAGCACATCCACGTAGGAAGACCAGGTAGGCCTGTTGTACATCGTCCAGGGCAGCAGGACCAGGATGACCAGTATGAGCTGTACATCGCTCTGCCTCGCCCTGCAGCTGATGAGGCTTACGGTTGCAGGTTGGTAACAATTGTCATTTATTTTCCCATATACGGTTTCATTTTGCAAACATACATAACAAATTTGTTGCCACAAGTGGATGGTCCCCAGACTCACACAGGCACATGCGGCGACGGGTCTCCCATACTACCGAGACGCCCTTGATCGACTCACGGAGGATCAGGTAAACACTTTGAGGACATTTATAATCATTTATGTACTGTGTATACTGATTGTGGACTAACTTATTTAGGATGTGTTATTGCAGATCACATGGGATCCGTATGTACCGGAGTTGGTAGATGTCATGCCTGCACATCTACTGGAGCATCAGGGGGAGTGGCGTGCCAGGGTCCTCTGATCTGTTTCGAGGTTGTGGAAAGTCACCTACCTGACCGCGTCATGCGATAGTTCGGACTACACCAGTTGGTTCCCCAGCATTGTGACACTGTCGTGCGCCTTCACGACATTGACCGTCGGGGAAAGACGGAGACTAACTGGGCACTGGAGCATTGGCAGTATCTTCAGCTATGGGAGCAGCGGTTGGGTCATGTCGTTCAAAGTTATCCGATGCAGGGTGTTATGGATCATGACGATCCGTACATGGTGTGGTACAGGCTTATCACACGCCGTTTCATCAACCCCAGCTACACACCACTGTCCATACATTACCACCCAGCACACGACACCATTAGCGGATATGTGAGTTTATTTTACTTTACTTATCATCCTCATTTTTTAATTTTTTTTAATACCATGTAAATGACTTATCGATGATTACTGCAGGCGGCAGATATGGTGGCGATGTCTGATGCACTGTCCCTTTCCCTTAGAGACGGACCCTCCAGAGCCCAGGTCGAGCGGATGCGAGATATGTCCGTGACTTCCTTACACAGACATGGTCACGGTTATCTTATCCACCAGCGGGACGGTGATGATGGTCACTCCGTCCATTCGCGGTTCGACCCCGGCCAGAGTAGCGGTGGAGGTGATCCTACGTTGCACACAGAGGAAGAGGACTACTTCGTCCACAATTCTGCACCCATCAGAACCCAGGAGGACGCATCGTCCAGCCAGCTCACTCCCCCACCCCCCGGAACCATTCACCATTACATTCGGCGTCGTCCAAGACGAAGGGACGACAGTCAGGCTAGGGAAGGGTTAGACGACATTGATGAGTAGTGATAGTATTGTATCATTTTTTTTTCTACACAAACATTTCCTGGAATGCTGTATATAACGATTGCATTATTAATATAAGACATGCTGGTTGAATGAATATGTTTGTGGTTTGAAGTTTTATTTGCTTATTTATCCAAATCGGACTTATGTCAGTCAAAATAGATCCTTTTGGGCTAATGTTAGTTGGACTGTTTTGAAGTCCAAAAAGGATAGTCAAAAGTGGTGGAAGATGGTGGCCAACGGTGGGGGTTGGTGGTGTGGGTGGTGGTGGACTGTGGTGGCTAAGTCAAGGCAGGGGGTGGTGGGTGGGGGCAGAAGAAAGTGGCAAAAGGCTGAATCTGCTGGTGTATTGCAGGTCAGTAGAGAAACGATGTCCCAGATAACGTTTTATGTTGAACATAAGACGCTGTCTGAGACAGCGTTTTAGGTATAACAAACTTTGTACTTAAAACGCTGTCTGGGACAGCGTTTTAAGTCTTTAATATTTTTAAAATATTTACAATTTCTGAAATAACAAAGAAACTAAAAAAAAAAGTCAACACCTTTATCCTACACTATTTACTATACCCCACCATAAATACACATCACCTTTTTTATCCTTTTTTTAATAATGTTTATACTACATATTTAACTTTCCAATACAATTAAAAATATGTAATTTTTTTTTCATTACATTTTAATTGTAATGTAATATTTTTTAATAATTTTTTAATTATTTTGGTAAATTTTTATTTTTTTTGTTTTATATTTGTATTTTTTTAATGACGGGTAAAATTAATAAAAAGAACATTTTCAATATAATTTTGAATTTTACGCTCTTATTAGAATATAATAATTAATAAAAATTACAGCAATTATAGATTGTACGAAAGATGTTTTCTTAAACTTAAACGATTACATAATAAGAAGCACATTTTTGAAATGAACACATAAACGGCAATACAAATACATCGGATATTAAATAACAGTACGTTTACGAACTTAATAAAAGCGGTTTGAGCTAAAATAATACACGAGGACGAGTATTAAAACTTAAACACGATACGATTACATTCTACAACTTTGCTTATTCGGCCGTATTATGACGAAAGTTCTGCCATATGTGTTCTACTAAATCTTGTTTGAGAGACGAATGAATTTCTCTATCACGAAGGGCAATCCTCCTCTGAAAATACGCGTTGAAATCTATGTTGGGCGGCCGCCCGACGTTGAATTCAAATGGCTCGTTGTTATTCACCGTGGCACTTGTGCTCGGTCCCGCCCGCACTGCTGGACGTTGTGGTCGATCTTCTTCGTAGTATCGTCTCAAAACATCTGCCCGTGTGTAGTTGTGTCGTTCATCCTCGACGATCATGTTGTGCATTATTATACAGGCTTTCATAATGTCACAAAGAATATCTTCGTCGAAGGCCAGTGCAGGTTGTCGTAGTATAGCAAACCTAGCTTGTAAAACTCCGAAAGCCCGTTCAACGTCTTTCCGAACTGCTGCTTGTTGATCAGCAAACAACTTATCTTTTTGAACTTGAGGATGTGTAATACCTTGTATAAAAGTTGGCCATTTCGGATAAATCCCATCTGCCAAGTAGTAGGCCAACTCATATTGATGTCCGTTTACCCAAAAATTTATTGGTGGTGCACGACCTTGTAAAACATCATCAAACACCGGTGAACGGTAAAGGACATTAAGATCATTACATGAGCCAGGCATTCCAAAGAACGCATGCCAAATCCATAAATCCTGATCAGCAACGGCTTCAAGAATGAGGGTTGCAGTCTTGCTACGACCAGCATATTGTGCTTTCCAAGCCGTAGGACAATTCTTCCACTCCCAATGCATGCAGTCTATACTACCAATTATGCCTGGAAACCCACGCAATTCATTTTGATGAAGGATTCTCCTTAAATCTTCATCTGTATGTTTACGTAGATATTCACTTTCAAATTGTGAAATAACCCCCTGACAAAAATGTTGCAATGCATTCCTTGAGGTTGTTTGGCCGATACGTAGATATTCATCCACGACATCGGGGGCTACGCCATACGCTAACATTCTTATTGCAGCGGTGCATTTCTGCAACGGTGATAAACCAAGCTTTCCAGCTGCATTCGGACGTTGTTGGAAGAATTGATCCCCTTCAACCACCTTATTCATAATGCGACAGAACAAAGATCTTCGCATACGAAATCTACGGCGGAATTGGTTGTCGTTATACACTGCATTACTCGCAAAATAATCGTTATATAGTTGTACATGCCCTTTTTCTCTTTCCCTATCCCTTTTAGGCTCCGGACATTTGCTATATCATTATTAAGCTGGGATTCTTGTGATGAGTGTTGGGGAATTAAAATATGAGGTAGGTGGTTAGCAGCATAATCATCAACTAACCGATCAAATTCAACGTTATTTGAGAAATCAGAAGAACTAGAGCTTGAGGTGGAGGAAATGAAAGACATGTTTTGGTTATGGTTTGATAGTTGGTTTGTTTGGGATTCTTTCCGTTTTGAATAACACTTGCATGTATATATAGTCCAAGTGACTATCAATGCATGTGAGTTGCTCTGATTTTGCATGTGAGTAACTCTGAATTGAAATTCATGTATCATTGCAATCTCTGCAATGAAATTGATGTGTCATGCATGTATATATAGTCCATATGACACTTCAATGCAATCTCTGCAATGAAATTGATGTGTCGTTGCACTCTAAATTGCAATTGAATTATAGATGCATGTGATGTATGACACTTGAACAGTTGATTTGACTCTTCAACATAAAGTTGTGGAGATTTTATTGGGAGATGTTTATTTGTCATTAACCATTACATGTGATTTTTATTAAAAACAAATTTCATAAAGTAAATAAATAACTGCATAATTAATGTTATAAAAAACATAATTCATTTCACATTAATGTAAATAAAAAGGAGTACATCTTAACATTAATTAAAATAAAAAGGACTACATTAAACATTAATTAAATAAAAACAGTAGCAAACACATTAAGCTGATCTAAATTATATGTTCCTTCTACCATAGAGTAGTGAACGTAATTCTTCCTTGTAAGCCTCTTCATCATGAGTTAGGTCCGGTCCCTTTGCCATTAGATCTTGCAGCATTTCGTAGTTAAGCCTTCTCTCTTGAATTTCGACTTGTTTTTGGTGAAGCTCTACTTGTTTTTGCTTCCTTCTTTCCCTTTCCATGTCGAAATCCATCTTCTTCAACCGCATTTGTGCCTCGATTTCCCTCGTAGCATTATTCTGCTGCATTTGCTCGGTAATGCTTAAGACGTCAACAACCACTCCTTTTCCCTTATTACGCCTGGACTTTGCCTTTTTAACGCCATCAGGTCGAGCAAGACCCCCAGAAGTGAAACCGGTAACGTGAACAACATCTTCATCATCAGTTCTACACCGCTTTTCACTTCCACTACTGTCATCCTCGACAGCATTACCGCAAGCTAATCTTTCCTCTCTTGACAACGCCCATCTCAGTTTTGTCCTCCACTTCGGGTCATTTTTAACCATTTCCCAACCATGGTGACAATTAAAATTATGTGGAGTAGGCTTGGAGGAAATATAGAATAACTTACTTGCATTATTAATTCGGTCTGCTTCGTTGTAACCAATTCCAGTTGCCCTACCAGCTTCGTCATAGCAACTACTCCATTGTATTTAAATCAGTTGCCATCCTTCTCCAACGGCTTTCCAAACTCCTCAAAGGTCTTGGCGGCAGGATGTGGGGTCTCTCAGCCTGTGCTTGATCATATGCTGCAGATATTTTTCGCCATAGCGCAGCTGCTTTTTGGCTTGTACCAACAATTGCATCCTCACTAAATTGAAGATACAAACCAATTAGAGCTTCATCCTCCGCAACAGACCACATTCGACTTCCTTTTGTTAGTGGTTGGTTTTGATTCACAGACACTCTTGAAGGAGGTGGAGAGTATTGAGGAGTGTCTGGAACATTTTCTTCCTTTTCATCATCTAATTGAGAATCAGTGCCTTGATAAACAAGAGGTAAATGTGGTTCATAGGTAGTGTTTTGGAAAGGAGTTTGATGAGGTGTTTGTTGTGTTGAATTTTGCAAAGAATTGTTTCCAGGCCTTTGTAGGAAAAGCTGAAATCGAGGATTAGTGACAAAATCATCACCCAAATCAGAGAAATGATTAGAAAAATTAGGGTTATTAGGATCCATAAGTTAATAGAGTAGAAAAGTAATAAAGCTTTTTATTTTTGGAAAAATAAATAAAGCTTTAAACAATAATTAGTAAAAAAATCAACAGTTACTAAAAGAACAAAAACTAAATTATATTTTCAAAAAATAAAAACAGCTACAACAGCAATAACATTAATGATAATTATAATAATAATAATGATAATAACAATAATAATAATAATAATAATAACACTAATAATAATAATAATAACACTAATAATAATAATAATAATATTTTTTTTTTCAGAAAAACGTAAATAATAATTATAATAATAAGAAGTGAGGATTAGGAAATTAGTGAATATAGGAGATTTTTGGTGTTTTTGAAAGTATATCAAAATATATCAAAATGCATGTCTATTTATAGAGAAAAAATTTTTATGGCCGTTGGTGAAATTTTTTTTTTATTTTATATTTTTAACGGCAATATTACCGTTTTTTTAATATAACCGTTGGGAAAATCAGAAAAAATCTGATTGGTGGAAGCAATTGATGCGTGTCGCAAGCCCATTGGCTGGCCTGACGCGCGTCAGTTGCCAGGGAGTTCAAATTTTTTTTGCTGAGAAAACACCAAAACGACGTAGTTTTGGCCTGGGAATGCACAAAACACGTCGTTTTGGACGTTTTCTCAGCCATTATAATGGGCTTGCGTCAGATTTTGCTGGGTCCCACCAATTTACTGTTCATTCTCATTTCTCCTCAACTCTTGTGTGTTTTTGGTTCTCCTCAACCGTGAGAGCTATTTTCCTCACTGATGTAGTGTTCGGGTTTTTTTTTTACACCTTAATTTTCACTCGTGAGGGCTTTTTCCCTCATTGCTGGGAGTGCTCTAATAAGCGTTCGTCACAAATGATGTTTAGTCATTTTCTTCTTGAAAAAAATGAGGCCTAATCAATTCCAAAATGTAGCTAAATTTTCATAATGGGTTAAATAATTTTTTTTAAAAAAAATAATTAAGTGACCACTTGATTGTGTAAATAATAACCAAGTATTAAATAATGTTGCATTTCAATCCAAAAGTATTTGTTACGAACAAGATTAGGGTAGATTAATTCAATCAAGGGATTAATAGAATTAACTCAAGAGTTTAGGAATGAACAATTCCCTAATTTTGTGCGTATATAATAATTAACCCTTTGTTTTTTATAATGTTCGATGCGGATGATCAATGTAATAGATATAATTGGATTATTAGATTACAACAGGGTGGGGTTCGATTCGAAAGAACAATTGCGACTATGATTACTAATATAGAAAGACTTGACCTTTTTGCTTAACACCAATCCCATTTAAATTGTTACGACCAAGATTAGGGTAGATTAATTCAATCAAGGGGTGTAGATTAATTCAATCAAGGGATTTATAGAATTATCTCAAGAGTGTAGGAATGAACAACTCCCTAATTTTGTGCGCCTATAATAATTAACCCTTTGTTTTTTTTATAATGTTTGATGCTAATTTATTAGTTGCCTAATTACTAGTACAATCTTTTAAAGCTAATTGGATTAAAAGATTGCGAATTAGCAACGTAGTTAAAAATTACTTATTAGGGTGATTTAATTTACGATTTAGGGTTATCAGGGGTTTAGGGTTATTTGGGGGTTAGGGTTAAGGGTATTTTGGGAATTTTAAAGATGGCCTATAATTGAAAGAATTATCAAGGTTTTACAGAAATTGCTACTTTTATTAAATTTAGGAGATAGTACTAATTTGTAATCGCTTTGGAGTTGGGTGATTGACATATAATTTATGTTTTTGCATCTGTATGTACCAACAGAAACTCATCGGCACCTGCTTGCTTTCTAAATCAAAGTACAGTTAAAACAATTCAGCATCTTTTTTACACTGCTTTTCCATTCCCACCATCAATGACCACATTCGACCCTGAAACCCTGTTTTCCCCCGTGGTTGCTATCTTGTTCCAACCACTGATGAGATGAGTTTCTAGGAACCAAATTTCAACACAAATCAGGAAATAGATTTGAATGACTATTCCTACTTTGTTGAACTCGAGTCACAACAACTAGTGAGGCTGAAAGATGAGGTCATGCGTGACATTGTTCGAAGTCTTGAAAGTCCGTGGCAGGAGGAGCTTAAGGGGATGGTCATGGTCTCCAAAGAAGGTATTAAGAAACCAGCCCATCTTCCTAACTTTAAAATGATGTGTTTTTTAAGTTGCATAATTTTAACTTCGAGTACGATGATTCTACCTCAAAAGTGATCCCTAAGTTCTTAAAAGATAAGCTTAACCCTGATTCTGTTTTAGATTTTGAAGGACCAGTGTATGCATTAGGTGACAGTAGGCTAAAAACTGAAATGGGGTGTTACACCGATGGGCTGCAGATTTCACCAACATCGATTTTTCTGTTGCAACTGGAAGGTCACATTCCCACCCTTATGATTTGAGTCTAATTTTAAGAAATTTGTTAATCTTCACAATCCATTGCTTGTCATTGTTACTGAGGTTAGAGTTTCTGAGAAGAATTTTGGGAAATTAGTTGGAGAGTTAGGGGGTCACTTCGATTGGAACATCGATGAGAGTGCCGGTTTGAAGGATGGGGTGATCTTTCTATGGGACAACCGTTGAGCTGAAGAGGAAGAGGTCATGTTGGCTGATTCTTTAACTTGCCCACTTCGTGTTATCACTTCTATTAAGGCAAGTAATTGGCTTTTGGTTAACTTATTTAATCATTTCCTTTTTTAGATAATGTTATTATTATTATTACTTAAATTAATGTTGTTATAATAATTACTTTTTAATCCTTGCACTTATAATTTGTTTTATTGAATTGTCAGGTTAGAGAGCCCAAGACTTCCCTGCTTGCTGCTAAGCGTGTGAAGAAGGCAATTTCAAGGATTTCTGATGCCAAACATCAGAAGGGATCATCTTCGAATGTCGATGCTGTTATTTAGGAACTAGTGATGATCAATTATGAGGTTATTATGTATGTGTGTGTTCTGTTTAGGTTATGCATTTTAAAAACTTCTATTGAGGAACTAGTAATCTGCTTTTGGTATGTATGTGTTTTATCGTCATGGACTGCTGTGCTATGTATACAGTTAGTTACATGTTTAATGTCTAATTAATGTATGAACCTTTATGTTTCTAATTAATGGGTGTTGGAAGTATTAGTAGTAGTTTTATGTTTGGATTTGATAAAGGTAATTTTATTCAAATAATGAGGATAAATATGTTTTTTATTTGAATATTAAAGGTAAATGTATTTTTTATTTAAATAATAAAGATAAATATGTTTTTTTATTTAAATAACATAGATAAAAATGGTTTTTATTTAAATAATACAGTTAAATATGTGTTTTATTTAGATAGTAAAGATAAATATGTTTTTAAGGGATCATTTATCCATAATAAACACTGATTTTTATAAAAACAAAAAAGTGAAATGACTTTTACAGATATAATTTAGCCAAAATTAAAACTGTGTTTTTATTAACTTTAATAATGTTTGTTTTCACTACCTCATACAAATGAATGTCTGATAGAATTATATAGATTGAAATACTTATAAAGTTGTTACACTAAACCATAACCAGTAATCACTAAAGTTTAAAGATAAACATTTAATATTATTTTTAACACTGCATTACAGCTTAAGGGATTTTATGTTCCTTTTTTTCTCCTCAAACTTAATAATTAAAATTATATTATAGGGAAATTCTACATTCACTGAAATAGAAACGACTACAATCTTAATTTCAACTAAGTAGTTTCATTGTAATGAAACTAATAAAAAAAGAAACAAGTGCGCAACAAGCTAGTACATAAAAGGAACTTCTACCACTCCAACTTTTTTTTCATATCCTGCTTCAAACGTTCATTCTCTGCGATAAGTCTTCTCGATTCGTGCTCCATGCATGATACCCTACCCTTGAGGATAGTAAGATCCGTATTAAGATTGTGTTTTTCACTTAAAAGGACGTTAGTGACGTCCCGTTGCCAATCTAAGACGTCCTCATCAAGCCACTAAAAGAAATCACAACCCCGTTCGCCGGTTTCGAAATTGTAGAACTTGCATGCCAAGAACCGCCTACCCGGATTATCACGTGTCCATGAAGTCCTCTTCGACACGGGGAGTCCACAGCTACACCTTATCCCTCTATTAGCCATAATCAGGGAATAAAATTATAGAGATTTATACAACAAAAAAAAAAAAAAAATAAAAAAAAAAAAAAACCTTGAAAAACAGGCAAATTAGTGTAGCGCAAATGAGGAATGCACACCTTCTCACAAGTAAATGATTTATAAAAAAAACATCTAGTACTCTCTCACAATTGTGCATGCATGGTA